CTCCCAGAATTCCTGAGCTAACATGACTGGAGGAGGAATTCTGGGAGCTGGAGTCCACCAGTCTTAAAGCTGTCAAGTTGGAAGACCCCTTGGTCAAGACGAGTGCAAAGAGGGCATCCGGCGTATCAGGTCTGAGCGAGGGCATTCCCGGATCCCTCACCACATTAAGGTCTTACGAAAGGATGCAACCTCCATGGAGTCTCTGATGCTTTCTTGAGGACCAAGGACTCCATAGTTCAACCCTGAGCTGGGGAATTTCTTTTTTTATTGGCGTTTACGCTCTGCCCTGGAACAGATGGACGTTGGCTTACGAAATGCAGGCCGCAAAGGACCCCCAGAGGCCCTTCTAGAGTGGGGAGAACAAGGAGTGGACCATGGTCAAGACTTCCAGGATGGAGAGGGCTCCGTCCATGGCTTCCTTACCATTTATCATTTTCTTCGGTCAAAGAGAACTAAACCCAAAGGCATCGGATGGGAGAAAGGCCACTGTACAAGGTGGTCCTTAACTTACAACCGTTTCATTTCGGGACAGTCCCAAGTTACAACGCCACTGAAAAAAAGGGACTTACGACCGTTTTTCACACTGACAACCGTCGTGGCGTCCCCGTGGTCCCCTGATCCGAACCACCGACCTGACTCGTATTTATGACGGTTGCAGTCTCCCGGGGAGGTCACGTGATCTGCTTTTGCGACCTTCCGTCGATGGGGGAAGCCAGGCTCACTCCACAACCGTGTTCCCCACTTAACAACTGCCTCGACTCACTTAAGGACCGTCAAACGGGGCAAAACATCACGAGGAAATGTTTTGCCGAGCCAATGGAAATGTTGGCCTCAGTGGATCTCGGAAGCCGAGGACTTCGTGGTAACTGCTTAACGAAGGCGGCCAGGACGGTCGTCAAACGGGGGACAAAACTAACAACTGTCTCGCTTACCAATGGAAAGGCTGGGGCTCTACGGTGGTCGTTAAGTCGAGGAGTATCTGTACAGCAGCTTTGCCTGCCAAAACGCTGCTGGCTTTTAAAGAGAAATGGCCACGGGATGAGCTTCCAGGAATGCCCCCCTACCCAAATGTCCTCCCAAATGCCATGACCAGAGAGAGAGAGAGAGATAACCATGCAGGAACCATTAAATGGGAGAGCTGTGGAAGATGGCAGAAGGCTGCGGAAAGGCACCTGTGGCAGTGGCCAAAAACATGCAGGGAGGTGGGGTGGGAGAAGCTGGAAGGGTTGGGGGGGCTTGAGGGCAGAGCAAAGCTGGCGAAAGGGGAGAGCGCCGTGCAGCGGGATGGCCGATTCTGCCCCAGGGACGCCACCACAAGAAGCGCACAGACGCCGAGGGTGCTACACCGAACGGCCAGGTATTGCCGAGAAAAAAGAGGAGGAAGGGCTCTCCGTACCATGACAAGCAAAGTTATGTCCTGCTATTGGACTTTTAATCCTGATAAACTGTGCAGCCACTTTGGGGGGGGGGAAAGAAAAAGAGAACATTACACAGGGTGAAAACGTTCAGCAGTTAAGACACACACACACACACACACACAGACCTCCCTCGGGGAAGAATCGGTCTTCCCGTGCCACGTTTGGAAAGTACCATTTCGGGGGTTGGAGGATAATAGCAATAGTGCTTAGTTTTATACACCGCTTCACAGTGCTTTCCAGCCCTCTCTAAGCGGCTGCAGAGTCAGATCTTGCCCCCAACCTTGGGGTCAGAGTCAACCCTGAGCCGGCCAGAATTGAACTGCTGGCAGTGGGCAGAGTTTGCCTGCAATACTGCATTCTAACCACTGTGCCATCACGGTCCTTCCTTCCTTCCTTCCTTCCTTCCTTCCCTTTCCTCCCTCCCTCCCTTCCTTCCTTCCCACTTAGCACTTATATACCGCTTCACAGTGCTTTCCTATTCTCTCTAACCGGTTTATAGAGTCAGCCTCTTTCCCCCAACAATTTGGGTCCTCATTTTACCCACCTCGGAAGAAAGGATGGAAGGCTGAGTCAACCTTGAGCCTGGTGAGATTTGAACTGCCAAATGGCAGGCAGCCGGCAGTCAGCAGAAGTAGCCTGCAGTACTGCAGTCTAACCACTGTGCCACCACGGTTCAAATGCTTGAATAGACTCTGCAAGTCCAATTTTGGATAGCAATAGCCCCTTAGACTTCTATACCACTTCAGGGTGCTTTATAGCTCCCTCAAAGCGGTTTAGAGTCGGCCTCTTGCCCCCCAACAATCTGGGTCCTCATTTTACCCACCTCAGAAGGATGGATGGATGGGTCAACCTTCAGCCTGGTGGGATTTGAACTGCCAAATTGTAGGCAGCTAGCAGAAGTAGCCTGCAGTACTGCACTCTGACCACTGTGTCACCACAGCACTTAGTCAAGGCTCTTGGTCAAGGATTCCTTGACCCAAAGAGGCATTTTGGCCATCGGGCTCCATCAACCATATGTCAGCCATCGGCTTTCAAGGCTTACCACAGTTGACCAATGCTTAAAACATCGCCGTTTGTGAAGGTTTATAGTAATCCCTGGGCAACTGGATCCTGCTTTTGAATGGCTCAAAACTTTGATTTCCACTTTCGGTGGAAACGCCATTTGGGAAGGGTAACACGGGTAGATGCAGGCAGTCCTCAACTTACAACTGTTTCATTTAGGGACCATTCGGAAGTTACCACAGTGCTGAAGAAAAGCGACTCAGGACCCTTCTTCACACTTAAGATCGTTGCAACGCTCCCACAGTCACGTGATCAAAATTCAGGCCCTGGGCAACCGATTCATATTTATTATGGTTGCCCTGTCATGCGACTGCCAGATTCACTTAACGACCAAGTCAACAGCTGCGGTGATTCGCTTAACAGCTGTGGCCAAAAAAGGGCGTAAAAATGGGGCACAATTTACGTTGACTGTCTCGCTGAGCAACGGAAATGTTGGCCTCGGTTGCGGTCAAAACCTGAGGACGACCTGTCACAACACCGTCAGGAAATATGGTCCAGGCTAACCCAGAATCAGAATGGAGGGAGGTTTTTTTGGCGCTCTGTGAACTTGGTGGTTAGAATGAAGTTCCATCCCATAATAGGCTTGGGATTCGTGTTATGGAAAGGATTTAAAACCTCTGCCGTTCTCCTCTATCTTTTTTCCCCGCAGGGAAGATTGGCAGAGCTGGAGGGAAAACCATTCCCCAATTTCATTCTGCTTTTCTACTGGGAGGGAAAAAAAAGAAAAAGAAATCAGCATTCTTGCCAATTTTGCCCTGTTGATGCAGCCAGGCTGGAGAATCCTGGCCAAGTTTGTCTCCAAGCATCGGACTGGAAGCTCTCCAAGGTCCAAAGGTGGATTTGAAGCTTCTCTGGCTTAAAAACAGGACGAACAGCAGGGCAAATGTCGAGGGGGGGGGCGGGGAGGAGAAAAGATGGACGCACCAAAGCCACCAATCCTTGGTGCAGCCTGCAATGGATGCAGAAAGTGGCCTTTCCACCCCTGGAGCCCATGGGCCCCTATTGCTTCTGCCTGCTTCTTCCCTCCCTGGAGACACAGCCCCCTCCCCGCTCTCTCTGATTCCTTTATTCGTTTTATAAATATGTATTTTATATATATACAAATAAAGGAGTCTAATATTGTGTGTGTGTGTGTGTGTTTTCTTAAGTTTTCGCGGGTACTTACATGTATGGTATTCAGCTTTGTTCGGGTATTTTC